CTCTTTCGGGTATCGGTCGTAAATATCTTTGTAGAAATCGCCCATGCATTTCTTGCCCAGCATGAATTCGGCGACGTTGCCGAAGACCGGGACGGGTTTCGGTCCAATAACCCCGCGCGATGTCCAGTAGTCAAAGTCGGCGGTGAAATAATAATAAAGTAAATATAAGATCACCACACAGGCACAGAGAATTTCTAACATGCCCGCAGCCATCGTAGTTAACTGACTGCTTTTACGGTTATGACACCCGTTTCGTAATTGTTCAATCCGCTCACGGCAGCCTCAGCTCAAATACTGATAACAGATCAACAACATTTACGAGAAAACACTGATATCGTCTGCGCAACAGTCTAAGAAGATTTTCCACTGCTTCTGCTACGCGACTGAGGAGAGAATGACGTATCAGGACGTACTTATTGGTGGATTTCATAACAATAGCCTCATTATAATCGTGCTGCATATTGAGTTACAGATATGTTGATTAATTCCACTTGATATATTCCACTAGAACTCAAATTGTGTACATGATCAATATATAATTAGTGTGTGCACATATATACATACACATATTTTTATTATAAGCAACAATCGATGTACTTTTATATTATAAGAAACTATGTTCCAAAAACTTTTTCTATTTTCGCTTTTATGTGTGTGTATATATATGTGGGTGTGCAATCCCCATTTTAGAAATTGTAATCCAAGTTTAGCTTCTTATATAATAGCAAAAACTGTGTACAGAATTTTTTCAGTGCTCAGTATTTTATAATGTTTTATCTTTTATTGCAATTCATACTTTATAATTATTTAAAATCGTTTCTTCTCTTATAAAATTAATTTTAACATTTATAGTAAATATAAAAAATAAACGGCAATAAGGCCCAGTTTCACAAATGTCGGTTAACTTTTAATCTTAGATTAACTCACTCTTTGTCTCCTTCCAAGAAGGGACGTTAGAAGGAGACGAAGAGTTTTAATCTAAGGTTAAAAGTTAACCGACACTTGTGAAACTGGGCCTAAGAGTACTAGTGTTATATGATAAGAAAAAAATTTTATATAATTAAGAAAAAATTTCATACGTTTTAGTTATTTTTTCAAATATTGTAAAGTATTCAATGGTAGGTTAAATTTAAAAATTCTTACGCAATTTATATAATATTATTTATTTCATATATTTTTAGATTAATAATATAATTTTTATACGTTTGTACACACCTGCCATGCATGTAATTTAAATGTGTCAGAATAGCATCGTCTATATTTACAGTATCATGTGTTATTTCTAATTAAGAAAATTTCACATAATTGCGAATATGATATTATTTCTGACGCGTGATATGATAGAGAGGAGAATATTATTGAAATAAATGTCAACATATTCAAACTGAAACGTCGAATTGTCGTAATAATATGATTCTTTTCAATTGTTCTTAACATCATTACTGATATTAAGTAGCATTATGCTGAGTTGCTTAATTAATTATCTAACACGTTATATCGTCACGTATTCTGTAATCTGATATTGTGGCAAAAAACAGACAAGAGCTCAATAAAGATTATGTAGTAATCAAGTGTACATATAACATTATCTGTTTATTTGATTACGTAATTGGAGCATTATTACGACTAAGTGATATCATGTCAATGACACGAAAAAATGCTGTCGAAATAATGTACCCTTATATGATTTTGCAAATGTTCTTACAAGTCATTCTTAATATTATTCTATAGTATTGTATACATGGCAAATTTATTCAGATGATTTAAAAAAATTCGACTCTTTATTTACCGTAAGTTTTGTTTGTCGCGATTGGCGACGCTAAATTATCTGAATATGATTTATTAGTTCTAGCATTACAAAAAGTTCTCGATTACACGTTCCAATTTTTATTCTATTAATAAACGTTATCTTAATGACTGAATATACATTGTAAACATGTACAGCAAATGTTATACGTGATGGGACACGACACGTCCATACATCATTTTGCATTGCTTAATTTACTAACATAAGTATACATATATATATATAGCACAATACACATACATAGCACATATATATAGCACAATACAAATCACATGACGTTGTAATTATCCTGTTAGGCGAGCTTAGTCAATTTTACATATATATCATCGTGAGTTGTTTGCAACATCACAGGGGTCAGCGGAGCATGGACAATTGGAATCTGGGTTTTCTCGCAAACGTCTATTTTATAATTCATTAGCACTTTAAATAGACCAATCTTGGTCTGATTAACGGCAAATCTTGCCCCTAAAAAAATAGCGGATGAAGTTTCAATTATTTCTCAAATAAAGTGCTTATGTGTGCATGTGCGCGCGCGTGCATATGCGTAAAATAAGCGTACGCTCATTTAAAAAAAAAAATAAATCTATTAGTTTCTTAAATTACCGATACAGTTTCTTGGACCATCTCCGAAAGGTAAATAATACATGGAATTTCTCTGCTCCATATTTTCCGCGCTAAATCGTTCGGGATCGAAAACTTCCGGATCTGGATAAATATTCGGATCATTATGAATAGCAGAAATAGGTATAACCACTTGTAGTCCCTTTCGTAGATCGATTTTAGTCCCCTCAAAAGTGTAATTTCTTACAGGTTTCCTCGTGAGATACATTACTGGTGGATATTTTCTGAGAGTCTCTGCAAGGTAACACAAACACTTGACTTAACAGAAAGATATTTTCGAATACTTAATCGAGTTTATCGAAGTTCGAAAAATATTTGGCGGAAATTATCGCCTTTCACTTTCGGGAGATCTTATCGAAAAGGAATGTGTAAATTTGCAAATGTTTGCAGATAAACTTGACTCACTTAAACTTGAATTACTACAGAATTATTTTTTGAGGGATAAACAAACCTTTAAAAACCATTTCTAAATAGCTCATCTTTTTGATGTTATCATATGTTATTGCTCCGTTATTACTGTTAAGGACTTCCTTAATTTCCCCTCGAACTTTTTCTTGAACTGATTGATTTTGCGCCAACTCATATATTGTATAGGACATTGTAGAGGAAGATGTCTCGAAACCAGCCGCAAAAAATACGAACGATTGGGCAGCAATGAATTCATCCGTTACATCTATAAAAATAATAATTTTATATTAATCTTCGTGATTCTTATGTCTATTTCTATCAATGTAGATCAACTTTAAGCTCTATTTAATTTACTTTTTATTTTTTTTTTATAATTCTTACAGCTGGAAAAAGATGAAAAGCAAGTTAAACCAATAATCAAATTAATCTACGTTAAGGAAGAAATAGACATTAATTCTATACTGTTAGTTACGCTTTGTCAATGAATATTCGATTATCTCTCTCGAGAAAGAGAATATAAGCATATTCTAAAAAATTAAGGAGAATTAAGAACATATTAACGCATTTGAAAGTTGTTAAATTAAGATGCGAAACATGGGAAAAAAATGTTCCTACTATTAACGCCCAGCTTGTCAGGATTATCCTTGAGATCAATAAGTGTATCGATAAAATCGTGTCGGCGCACGTTGTTCTGCTTCCTGTACTTTATAGTATCGCGGGTAATGTTCGTTATGAACTCGGTCACGTCATGATCGTCCAAGATATATCCTAAGTACTTGTAGATCCACGGAATTTCTCTGAGCACGATTCGAAACATGATCTTTGGAGTGGTACGGAAGATCCTACGACCTATTTTCTGGAACTCATTATTTTCTTCTTTCAGCGCGTTCATTTCGAGGCCGAAAGCGCACGATCCGATCACGTCGACGGTGAATTTGGACGTCAGATTTCGGCACTCGACGATACCGTCTTTAGACACTGTCTCGTTCAGATACTTCTCAAAGTGATCGGAACAATTCAACACCAAGTGAAACATGTCTTTCAACTTCCCGGACGTGAAGACGGGCGAGAGCCTCGTTCTTAATGGTCGCCATCTAACAGAGTCGAGCCTGAAGAGCTGCATGGTCATGGGTTCGGCCTATAAATTATGCATCAGTGTATCAGAAAGCGGGAATTATGTTAGAAAGTTTTCTCTCATAAGTTTCCGTGTGATCAACGCCTGCCCCCTTATACTTATACATCAGTTCAACTTCGTGCTGAAGAGAAAAAGAGTCATTCTTTCCAACTCTTAATTTTCTAAGTTATTTATTATAACTGATACGCGACATTTCGAAACAGAAAGAGAGAGGAGCAAATTAAAAATAACTATTTTAAATAATTATACTGAAATTATTATTTTTGGTATATTTTATATCACGTTTTATTTTATTTTTATTATAGTTTGTCGCTCCTCTATTTTATTTATTATGTATTATTATACGTATATATCTATACATTAAATTATTAAATTATACATTATAATTATCTATTACGTGCCTATAATATAAAGTTCAAGAATTATACCTTTTCATAAACCGTTCCTTGCCGCTCGGCAAAGATGGTGAAATCTTTGATCAGCACTTGCTTGATGTACTCAGGATCTCTCAGAACGAGCACGGGGTTCGCTCTCAAAAACACACCCA